CACTGCATTCTGTTTCACCGGTACAGCCGGAGTCATCAAAAACTGCAAAGAAACAGGCCACATTTCTCCCCTAGCCCAGCACTTCTGCGTGTGTCTGCAAGTGTGCATGTGTGTGTGTGTGTGTGTGTGTATGTGCATATGTCTTTGTGTGTGTGGGTGTGTGTGTGTGTGTGCCTGATGAGAAGAACTGCTCAGCAATATTTAGCGTTACTGCGACAGAACAGCTTTAGGACAGAACAGAACAAGGCTCACCTTCAGAAAAGACGAAATGAGAGTCAAAGAGACAGAAATATATTTTGACTTCTGATGCTCCTTGATGAAACATTGTGCTTTATTAAGTAAGAGGAAAAAATCTCAATGCCAAACACTAAAAACACCACATTAAAATGTTTGTTTCTGGCCACAAAGGGTCATTACACCTTCTTTCTTACCACTCTGTTTCTCTCTCAGAGGTGAGCAAATGCAGGCCTTGAATTGTCCAGAAACAACAGGAATAACAACATGAATTATGACACTCTTCAAAACAATTTGTTACTTATCTGGATTACATATAAATTGTGAGCTCAGTTTCTGCATCATGGATCTTTTTCACTATGCTGTGCTAAAAACATTTAAATACTGCAGTTCTTTAAGTTAGCGTGTGTGTTTTCTAGGGTCATGTGTGATAATGACCCATAACTCTAAAAGCACTATGTGTTACTCTAGTAAACCATTAGACATGTGTTTGTGTGCATGTGTTCATTTTGGGGTGTAAGGCAGCAGATGCCTACCCGCAACATGCACCATGCACCTTATGCACACCCACGTCCACTTACACACACATGCACACAGACCAGCTGGGCGGCGGCTCTGGGTTCAGTGTACAACACACATGTCGGCCTTCAACGTGGCACGGCATCAATTAAACTAAACAGGACATCTATCACAGCTAACCTCACGGCAGGGTCTGACACACACACACACACACACACACACGCACACGCACACAGGATACATTTCTCCCACATTCCCGTCAAACATAATGTTACATTTATGAAATAGAAAGTGAAGTCAGTTTTATTCAAATAGAACAAATCCTAAATCAGATAATAAATACAACCTCTTCTACCCTTAGACCATTGTTTGAATTATGGAGGAGCTCCCTGGGAAAACCCTTAAATATATTAGTCACTTTTTTCAATCCATCTTTATACAAACACGTGATTTAAAAAGTAATTTCTTGCATTTTGTTCATTGATCATACTTTAGTAAAGCGCTGTGAATCAGTCCTTGCAGTAAGGTGTTACGTCCGAAATTCAATTCAGTTCAATTTGATCTAACTCTGTATGGGTAGTTACAGTATATGCAGCAGCTTGCTGGCCTTTTAAATTCTTACAGTTAACAAAACATGTGTATAGATTGAATACATAACGTCTTGCATCATTGTATAATCCAGATATTAAGTTCTGTGTGACATTTAGTTCTATCGTCACTGTCAATTTTCACTGTTTGATGACAATGGACATAGGAGTGACTTTTGCTTCAATCGTTGATATAAGGAGTAAAATACTTAAAAAATATACATATATATATATATATATATATA